TTTGCTATTATATTCGTGGAGTTATTTAAAGAATAAAGCCATACTAATTATATTAATTCTGTACTAAATACTAACTAATTACCAACCCTGCGCTAAAGGGCTTCGGGATACTTAGGGAAGCTGCTCAAAGGGACCACCGAGGGGGCTGCCGGAGGTAAAAACGGGTAAGTAGGTCTTCGTAAGTAGGTCTCCAGACTACTTGCCAGTCCGTACGCGTAGGTCTTTAGTCTACAGTCTTCTCTTAAATTAAAATGCTTTGGCACTTTGATTTACAACGTATTCAAAATGGGCTTCGCCGGCAAAGCTTTCCATTTTAATGACAACTTGCTTTAGCGCTACCGGGTCTTATAGCCTGTAACGTTAGTGGACCAGCCACGAACTGCGCCACCACAGCTCTAAAACTAACAACTTAGATACCTTCTAATTATAGCATCACGACTTCAATTGACTATCTAGATAGCGCACTTACATCCGCTTCTAATACAAGGGATCGTTTGAACAGTTCATCATAAGCAAGATTAGATTCGGTAGCTACTACGTACTTAGTCCAAAAACAAATAGCAAATAAAATCCTGGGTTAGGTAAGCTTGAAGTAGAGCTTGGAGGTGACAAGATCATGGTTGACTTCAAGTCTGATTGGGGGGCTGAATCAGCCCAGCTCTCTGGTCTCATGTCTCAGATATGCCTAGTCTTGACTACCTACTTAGGTACTTTGTGTATCCCTATAGCCAATAATTTCCACATTCGGCCGGTTTGTTGCACATTAGGCATTGCCTTAGCTCATGCGGCCGTAGTCGATGCCTCCCGCTAATTTTCAGCTGGCAGTGCAGGAGTCAATACTCCTAAACAAAGGCCAAGTAAGATCGACAATTCCATTGAGGCTGCGTCCCCGGAAATTATAATAGCGTCACAGCGGCGCAGCTTGGTTCAGACCGGCGTACTGGCTGTGTAACTGTTGGCAGCCGAATCAGTCCATTTGAAGGTTAAATAGCCCGCTGCTGTATCCCGTTTCCAAGGAGTCCATTCCATGCCAACCTCTTCCCACATCTTGTTCTTTCATTTTCGTTCAGCAAGTCTCCTCGAATACAACCGTCATTCAATACTGCCTTAATATTGGTGGATGCACTTGTGATCCAGCGTGTCACTCCTTTGTCTCGTGTTCTTTAGTTGGCTTTACAGCTTGTGACACCCCTACTTCCAGCTATCATCGTCATCATCACTACCACTCGGAAAATATTCCAGTAATTGAGGCACGACCTAGACTATAAGACCTACCGTTCATTCCTCTCTTTCAAAATGGCGACACCAGAGAAGTACGGTCAAGAGCAAGGCGTATACGGCCAAGCCCCAATACCGCAACAACAGCCTTACGCACACTCAGCGCCCATGGCGGCAAACCACCAGTCCCACGGTCACTTGGAGAAGGACGGGAGCGAGTGGCAGACGGGGATTTGCAATTGCGAGCCGTGCTCATCGTGTCTATTAGGCTGGTGCTTGCCGTGTCTCCTCCTAGGCCAGACCTCTGAGAGGATTCGCGACCCCTCGATGCAGAGTGCCGATATGCTGAACTCCGACTGTCTTATTTACACCGCTATTAGTTGCTTCACTGGTTGCGGCTGGATGTGAGTTCTTTCCCGTCACTATTCTACCTTCCCAGCTTGGTTCATCTTACACTCACATCGGCGAGCGCATTTTGCGTGATCGGCAGAGTCTCCTGGGCTAACTTATCTGACACAGTTACGCCATGATCAAGCGAGGCGAGATTCGTGAACGGTATGGTATCAAGGGCAGCGGGTGCGACGACTGCTGCGTGTCGTACTGGGTAAGTGAAATCATCTCCCCCCCTCTTTCCGGAAGTGTCGCCTATCGTCACGTATTTTCTAGAAATACTAACATGCATCGCCCCGCAGTGCCCGCCTTGCGCGCTCATTCAGCAGGATAATGAGGTCAAGGTCCGACAACAGGCGCAACCCATCGCACAAGGTTATCAGGTTCAGCCCGGCATGCATATGCCGCCACCGCAGGCTGCGTATCATCCCCAGCAGTGAATCGTCTGAATCTCTTGTTTCGCTATACTTCGCACTTACGCGAACCGAGAACCGAGATGAAACGGGTACTCGCTATGAATATGCAGCTCGCTATGAAAATGCAGCAATCTCATTCGGCGGGCCTGCAGAATCCATCGCGACGTATAGGACTTTGTGATGTTCGGTGGGCGAATGCCGGGGACCGATGCCGGCAAGGGGATTCCCTGTACGATACTGTGGATAAATAGATCAGGTCAGGATACACTAAGGTTAGACAAGTCTCTAACAGTGATAATGTGAGGCAACCCATAAAATAGGCAACCGTAATAAGTAGCACAAGAATATACCCTCATAAGAACCCGTCAACAATCATCTCGACCAAGTTTGCTAAGATGACTTTTCATACGAGTAGCTCCAGTAGTGAGATCATCGCCAAAGGCAATCAATCAGGCCATCCGTAACAGATAAATGATGGCATCAGCTGACAACGTAGTGCGATGCGTAGGTTCACAGTAAGCTACCGATTGAACTGACCTTCCATGTTTCCTTCGACATTTCATTCAATTTCTTCTCATCTCATTTCATGTCACCTCACACACCCACATCACAACTAACTCAAAGTTACTTGCAGAGCACAATGGAATACCGCCCGACACAGTTTGGGCATTCTACGCGCGGTGATCGTGACATGTCGATACAGAGTCTCAACCACCCATCTGAGGCAGCAATCGCTCTCCCTGTATGACGCGATTGAAAATGCGCTGGCGGCCGTGGTCCTCCGGCAAGCGATGCTGTGCGTCGGCATCGCGGGCGAAAATACCAAGGAGCCAGCTTTCGTACACGTCAAAACGATCGACATGCGTCGCATGATCGAGTGGAGGGAACTCATACCAACTACCACACCCATCACGGGAATCAGGGCCGACAAGAGCAAAAATGAAGAGAATCAAGCGGAAGCGCACTACAAAGACCGCCTGTTACGCTCCCTCGAAAAACACCACGAAGCGCTCTGGGAAGACCTTGCCGACAAACCAGGCTGGAAAATCGTTGTGCACCACGACCCGCGACAACTCGGCGCGCTTCAGTCCGAAGAAAACGACGTGCTCTTGTCTTTTGACATATCATTTTGCTTCCACCACGCGTACGCGGACGGGAAAAGCGGATATATCTTCCATGGAGATTTCCAACGAGCGCTAAGCAATGCTGCTTGTCCCCCAGAGCTCCAAAATCATATCCTCTATCTTCCGACAGCCCCCATCCTCCCGCCTGCAATGGATACGCTCATCCCATTTAGCCTGTCCTGGGCTTTCATCCTGCGCACGGCCTGGGCAGAGATTCTATATCCGGTTCTTGTGCCTCCTTTCCTCAGGCGTCTGTTGCATCTAGAGCCGAGCGAGGCCGACCTCCCGTGGACGGGAGGGCCGGTCGACGGGTCGAACCCGAAGGGGCATATCCGCACTTTGCTCGATGTAGACGAGGCGCAGCTGCAGAGAATCCTGGCGCGATGTCGGAGCCACAAGGCCAGTTTAACAGGATTGTTGCACGCGCTCATCGCACGCTCACTCGCGCGGCTTGTGAGGGACAAGTCATTCCACTCCACGACGCCCATATCGCTCGCGCGGTATGCAGATCCCGGTATTGCGGGCTCGACGTTCACACCCGACGAGACGATCCATTGTCTGGTCACGGGCCTTCTGTGTGATCATGAGCTTGCCACCATTCGGCGATTGCAGCAAGGCCAAGACAGCGGGGACACGCGGGTCCAAGATGATGCGGCGATGTGGGCGTTCGCGCAGGACATGACGGCCCGCATTCGCGACAAGGCCGCCTCGCTGCCGCGCGATGACATTACGGCGCTTTATGGTCTGGTCGGCGACTGGCACGAGTTCTTGCGCAACAAGTTTGGGAAGGCAAGGAGTAGTAGCTGGGAACTGTCGAACCTGGGCAGTCTTAGTGCCGTTGACTCGGGGGTCTCCGTGCCCGAAGACCTATCGAGGGCGGAGAGCGAGAGGCGCGTGGAAAATGAAGGACGCTGGTTCATCGACCGCGCTGTCTTCACACAGGGGATGAATGCCATCGGCCCCGCCGTCAGTTTTAACGTAGCTGGCGTCGCTGAACATGGTATTTGCGTGACTGTTAATTGGCAGAACGGTATTGTGGATGTTGACCTTGCGGAGAAGTTAGTGGACGACTTGCAGGCATCTGTTGCTGAACTTGGTGAAGCTTGATAGTTGATGTCTCGTTGGTATGGTGAGTGTTAACACTCTATGTTAATGTCTAATGTCTAATACGTAACTATAATTGTTATTATACGGTTTCCGTAGAATAAAGAACTATATGTGTATAGCCAGGGCTGGCCCACGAAGGTGTTTTAGATCCCTTCGCGTGACAACTAAGTAATTATGGCATTCATCTACCCATCTTAATCGTAGGGTCATCTATCCGTCGTTCTCTGTGCCAGTCAAGATCGGTTATTTCGCATTCTTTTCATTTTCAAGCGTCCAGATTGCAGTCAATGCCTTCTTCCGCCAATTTTGCCGAGGTAACTTCTTGTTTTTAGTCAACGGGGCTGGATGGAGCACATGTTCCAAAGCGATGCCGAATAATCAAGAGAACTTTATTCAGCGCCCCTCGTGCCCGTTCTACATAGGGCATGATTCCCTACCTATTCCACATAGGATCATACCATACATACTCTTCTTCTATCAGGCCAACCGAGGCATTGGAGGATGACCATGTATTATTTTCCCATGAGTTGCTAATAGGTATCATCAAAAAAGAAAAAAGAAACGCAATTGTCAGATGCTACTACAAGTGGTGCTATAACTACCAGTGCAGGATAAGCTAGGGTGTGTGTTCCCGTCTTTTCGAACTTGCTCATATTAATTAATATGTGTGGGGTAAGGGGTTCTACGCTATTTTAAAAAGGGAAGTGGTCTGTTTCACGAATGGGAAAAAATTAGAAAAAGTTGGTGCGCCAGGTGAGGATTGAACTCACGACCTTTGCATTTCTACCATACGGGCTTCGTAACAAAGCTAGTATAAGAGCAATATGATACCACTACATCACAAGCGCTGAACATTCGAACAGCTAAATTGTTTTATATACCTAAGGGAGCAAAGCAGAGTCACCCCGCTTAGTAAGCTCGGTAGCTACCCCAAACCAACTTGACTGCCCACCATGCCTAACCAACCCCCTTTCTAAGAAAAATCATCTTCTCTCTCTTTTCCTCTAGTCATTTTCCTTTTTCATGCAGACGAGGGCATTCACTGGCATTTTTAATCCCTGCGGCGACAACAAACTAGGTAATTGTTATCTTATAAAATGTAGTGCATTACTTCAATTGCCAGCGCTGCCGTCAGCAACAGGATCCTATGTACTGTAGGGTGCTACCTACCTAGATAAGATATGTACCTAGGTAGGTAACCATGCAACATTCTTGTATGCCTGCCCGATAGAAGCCGTGTTTTTCTGTCCAGTCGGAGACCCCGATATACCTAGAACGCAGCGAGTTGTTTAAGTCCATCCTAGATATCAGTGGCTTTATCTACTAAGTCTCACGAGGCACGAAAAACTGCGTGCAAGCTTTTCCTGCCGACTTGGATCTTTTTCTCCCTTAGGTTTTGCAGGGGAGTATGTGCCTACCTAGGTAGGTACCTAGGTAGGTTCTGAGACAGCCCTGCTGATGTTGCGCAGCAGAGCGGTCTGGATACAGCCGCGAGATCGCAGCTGTATGGATACCCCGACAGCTCGGCAGAGCCGCTGACCCCGCACTTAGGGCTGCATGTTTTAGTTCATAGATTCTTACCTCTTCTCAAAAAGTGCAGCGTAGCACACAGGCCCGTCCAGCCCATTCTCGTTGAACTTAAATAGGTACACTATGAGCGCCCTGTTTCTCGCGTCATATAATCCCAGGCTCAGCTTGCCACTTAGATCAAGGGTTCTCGACTCCCGGAAATCCATTGACTACGGCCGCTCCCTTGTCAAGCTGAGAATGAGATATATGGATGACGAAGCAAGTCCGGAGCTGGTGTGTGGTTTCAGCCGTCATCATATGAGCCACTCAACACTAGCGAACTGGACGAGAGGACTCATTAATAGTTAAACATGCATGGTTAATGATTATTCCGAGCTTCTGAAAAAAGCTTATAATATTAGTAAGTCGGTAAGTGTCTTATCGGGAAATTTTTTAATATCGCAACACTGTAACATTAGACCTCGGAGTATAATCCCTAATGGGGCACGAATTGGTCCAGCGTTAACCTTAACCAACAGTATGAGGAAAACGTGATAATCTTCGATTCTGCTAGGTTTACATGAACCACGCCTTACATAGGTCTGATCTCTCATTTTCCAGTACGTGGAACGTATTTGTACTCAACTCTAAGCTTGCTGGACCTAAGTAATCAATGTGCTCCCACGCCAGATCCATGTGAGCAATTTAATGCATAATATACGATAAATCTCTACAAAGAAAACTGCGTATCTTGAATCTACTTCTGAAGGCTGGGATACTTTTTTCCATCGACAAAAGGAAACATCATTTATGTAATTAGTTCGACTGTTGTTACCTTGCGCAGTACAGAAATCAGATAACGACGATCAGCTGTGTTGATCTTCGTACATGTTTAGCCACATCATTTCTCTACGCTTTCGGGGAAACGTCTCCACCAGGTATGGCATTATTACCCATGCTTTAGCTTTACAGGAAACAGCGAGAAGGGATAAACCGAGGCTTCGTAACAATTCACATCGACTAATAAGGCGCAACATTGTTATGAGAAAATTCATTGCAGATCAATTCATCGCGTGACAAGCGGACCAGCCGTCAAACTTAAGGGAAAAGAAAACAGAAAAAGATCAAACGTATGCAAATCTGCCTCCAAAGCGTTATGTAGACAACCTCCCAGACCAAATACCAACAAATGCAAGAAACAGGTTGAAAATATGTGTACCCAAGGACCCGAAATTGAAACCACGACAACATGGTTCCTACCAATCCTATAAATCGCCAGCGAAAGAAGCACCACCGGCATTCATATCTACAGCCATGCTGTGCTTGAGGCCACACACTTCAAATAGCTTGACGGGCGTGATATCAGCAGGAGTGCCAACGACACCATAGTTCTTCAAACGCATGAGTGTCTCACGGATGGCGATATAGGCAGGGGCTATGGTGGCAAAGCTGAATATCATGATGCGGAAGCCCATCTTGCGAGCCTCGTCGACAGTGATGAGGGGACTCTTGCCGTTCTCGACAGAGTTCAGCAGTAGGGGCCAAGGGGCGAGATCCTTCACCGCCTGTGCGGCTTGCTCCTTAGACGAGAAGCCTTCGAGCAGGCCGACGTCAGCACCTTCGTCACGCGCCATGCGCAGTCGACGGATGCACTCGTCATAGCCAAGACTCTGTAGGGCATCGGTCCGTGCAATGAGTACGAAGTCGGATTGGAGGCGGACGCGGGCACCATGGGCAGCTCGGATGCGGGCGATGTACTCATCAACCGGCACAACCTTCTTTCCGCCGAGATGTCCGCAGCGCTTCATCAACACTTGGTCTTCGAGATGGGCGCCTGCTACACCGGAGCGGATGTATTGTTCTACAGTGCGAGCAGCCATGATGGGACCTAAGGTGAGAAATCCGTTAGTATTGCTCGTGAGGCGTAGGGCGGGGATTCTCCGTGGCATGAACCATGATACGTGTATGATGTCTTTCTATCTAGGGAAGTCTTACCTCCGTAACCAGTATCCATATCAGCAATCAGAGGCGGGCCGAAGGGGTCGAGGTTGGCAATCATCTCCGCATTCTCACGCATCTCATGCAGCTGGGCGATGGCCAGATCGGGTTGTCCCAGACGGGAAGCTGTGGTTCCTGCACCGGTCTAAAAATTAAACATCAGCCAGAATTCCAAAAGAGCGCTTCAAGCAATGAAACGAACCAAGGGATACTATTACATACCATATACATAGCATTAAATCCTAGTTCGATGGCCGTCCGAGCTGATAGGCCATCATAGACACCAGGACATATGATGAGTTCATCAGTCTCGAAAAGCATTTTTCGTAGCTTTTTGGCACCAGACATGGGCTCGTTGACGCTGGGAACGACATCATTGAGTGTTAGCCACTTGTTTGACTGGACGGCCGTGTCCTGTTCAACAAAGCCTGTTCGTGGACTGTCTATGAACTCATCACATGCTGAAGAGGTCTCTGTTGAGCCTTCAGAGCTAACTTCAGTAGTGATGGGTGTAAGGGAGGGCTTGAATGGTTCAAAGTGTGGGTTGGACTTGACATCTGCCTTTGCGGCTTCGATGACAATGGAAGACTCGGTCTCGAGTTGAGACACTGGGTCTGTTGAGATAGCAGAGGGAGCCATTGTTAGTTGTCCGAGTAAAAAGACAGGATAAAGAGGGAAGAGTACTATAAGATGCTAGTCAAGGATAGAAATCTGACGGTTGTTGTCCAAGAGTTTGGGAGATATCCTCGGTCAATGCACTATTTATATTCGTTTCTGAAGTTTTCTAGAGCTCGCCTACACTGAAAAACCAAACGCTGAAGGTTGCATGCCGAGCCAGTCGTCCGTACTCCCCTCCGTCCCGCACACATCTCTATCTTACTATAATCGTCGGTCGAAATGAACCATTCGACTTGGCGCATAGGTCCTTGGACTTGCAACCTGGCAGGCCAGTACCGTGTGCCAAGGGTATTCACCAAAATTGCAAGCATTCACGATCACTTGTGAGTCCAATAAACACTGTTATTGGTAAGCCTATTGTCGATCCACACTGATACTCGGTTTCCGAAGCGTAAGCTACCTCAAGTAGCCACCCTCCGGAGGAGTGTCTTCATCCATTTCAAAGTCTGTAATAGAAGTGTTAGTAACTACGGCAACCCCGTGAATAGAGGATAATCCGATATGAATTGATCTATCCAACCTCATCTAGGGCGTTTACCAAAATATTTTGTGTAGTGAAATTATGCAGTTGTTAGAGTACTGACAGGTGAGTAGACGCTTTGTGGAACGTCTGGCCGAAACTTGGACCAGAGGAGGCATACGAAGATCACGAGCACCCCGGGTTAGCTTAGATACTACCATGAAAGTAGGATTTGCGGGTGAGCTTGTTTCGAAGTCACATCGCAGCGGATCTACCCGGGGCTGGCACAGCCACGATACAGTTCTGCCTGACATCTACGTTTAACCGATTCGACCGTTCTAGGTCAGCTTCGCGACGACATTCTTCAACGCCACTGTGTCACAAGATTTCATTATATCGTGCTTGATCAGACGAGTTCTGCCTTATCTCTTGATACCAACTAGTCACCTTCGTCTCGACGCCATGTGACCGTGCAGTATACGGACGCGATGTAGTGTAACAACATGTTTTCTGGGGATAGTCTTTTTCCGGACAGATATTGCACCACCACCCTGATCCCTAGTGCCGAATCGAGATTTTAAACGCGCATCGCATCGACCCGCAGGGTGTTTGCCAGGCCAAGTCGGAGGAACTCTTTGGGTTTCATAAAAAGACCTCGGACTGCGGGAAACGCTCAATGTCATCAGGCCCTCATGTAACGTGACTGGCCGAAATGGGCGTACGTGAAGAGTGGGTGATAACACACCGATCCTATGGGGCAAGGCCGACCTACATAGGTGGTTTGCAATAATACAAGTCTGTACAACAATCTCTTGCATATTGCCTCATTGGCTGGTTTTATTCTTTTCAAGCGAGGCTGACGGCCGCCGTGGGTGTGAGTAATGAAGTGGTTTGTTAACGGTTCAAAATATGAACAAGTTATGGCCTACTGCCTTTGCACAAGGTGGCCACCGCAAACGAGGGGATAAATCCACACGGAGTCCCTTGGGGCATCAGGAGTCTTTGTCCCCAGACTGTACTGATAATCTTTTGTAATATTACGTTGTTTTGCAGCTCGCTGCCTTTAAGCATAGCACCTACCCTAGTCTCTTGGCCCGAGCGGACTCTGCATAACTTATCCGCTGTCAGAATTGGCACGCAAACACCCAAGACAGCCAAGATGCTTGGATTCTTGGACGTAAGCCACCTTCTATAACTTCCTTG